CCTGGTGTGTTGGCAGATCTCCTGTGCCCTCCATGGGTGTCATGAGCCAGAAGCAGTAGTGCAGCTCTGCCTCCAACTGGTGAGAGCCTCAGCAATAGAGCCTTTCAGACATACACACACACACACGTACACACGCATACACACACACACACACACACGTACACACGCACACATGTACACAATGGAACTCCAGGCAGCACCAAGGCTAGCACGCTGAGAGGACACAGCACAGCATGCGAGTGAAAAGCTGGATGAAGCACACGATTTACAGCACAGTGCCATTTACACAAATGGTTTGCGGAGCCCCCTGAAGGCTGGAGATATCCTATGTCTTGATCCTGATCGTGGTTACATGGTTGTACACATGTGCAAAAATTCATTGAGCCAAACACTTAAAATTTATGCATATACAGACCTAAGTTCTAGCACCAGCAAGCCTTGCCTCGTCCTGCAACTTCCTCATCCCCCGCTGTTAACTGCCCCTCCTCAGCTCCCAGGGCTCCCTGTCCACTTTAAATATGCCATAATTATATGTAACAAAGACTGGCAAGCCTTTGTCCTTAAAGGATCAAGTAGTAAATATTTTTAGCTTTTCAGGCCAGATGATCTCTGTTGCAATGACTCAACACTGTCAGCGGCAGCGTGAAATTAACGATAGATAATACTAGGCAAATGGGCATGGCTGTGTTCCAATAAAACTTAATTTTCAAACACAGGTGGGGGGCCATAGTCTGCAGGCTCTGAAGTCTCTGATGTATACCACCTTGAATTGCTTCATCTGTCTCCTCTATCAAGTGTCACTACCTTAAAGGCAAGGACAAGTTTTTCCATTCCTGTGTCTTCACCATCTGGTTCAATGCCTGACAAAATAAATGATTGTCCATGAACAAATCAATGAGTGATTTATAGTTTACTCCGCTCAAACCTAAATGAGAAGAGAGAGAAAAGCAAAGTTGAGTAATATAAGGGTGCAGCCCCACACCACCCACAAAACACCTTCCAAGCATTCCCCGTCCTAGCTATTGCATTCCACTCACATTTACTGAGTACAGGGCTTTCTTTTGGGGTAATAAAAACATTCTGGAACTAGGTAGAAGTTACGGTTGCACAACACTGTAAATGCACTAAATGGCACTGAATTGTTCATTTTTAAATGACTGATTTTATGTTTTGTGAACTTAGCTGCAGTTTTTTAAAGCAAATATAAAATGATACACCAATTTGAAAACGTGCTGGAAAAGAAAAACAAAGGCTCCCTCTGGCGGCCGTATGGAGAATAGACTTCTATGAGGCAGGAGCAGAATGGATGTACTTGAGCTGCTGTCATTTTACTTTCGTTAGTCCTATTATTTCTAAAATATTTCTTGAAGGTCACAAAATATCTGGTCTCAGAGCTACTGGGACTGGTTAGCTTCGTTAGTCTTGGGAAATCCCCAGAAATAAAGGTGCTGCCACCGCGCAAGCTTGTGAAGTTCGCAATTTGATCATCTCAGACCAATGCAACCCTAATGTTGGGATCTTGCAGCAGTGGCTACCGCGGAGCACTGGCTGTGTACCAAGCATCTGGCTGTTCATTTGTATGCTTCATAATAAACCAGGAATAGTAACCGGGAAGCCCTTTTCCCTGAGTTAAGTGAGCAATCCAGCAAATTATTGAACCTGGAGAGGGGATATGGGGTCTGACCTGAACTCTGGGTATTTAGCATCAAAATTGAATTGAATCGGAAATTGTGTGTGTGTGTGTGTGCGTGTGTGTGTGTGTGTGTGTGTGTGGTGGTGGTGTTATTTTGGTGTGAAAACACACACACATTTGATGTCAAAAGTGTTGAGTAAAAACATTTCAGTAGTGACCTAATTTAGAAATAGGGTCTTTGTAGTAACACCAAGTTACAATAAGTTCATGGGGGCGGGGGAAGAGGGGGGAGAGAGAAAAGGGCACTCACCCAATATGACTGGTAATGTTATAAGACATTTCAGAGAGAGACAGATGGAAGGTAGCCATGTGAAGGCGGAGGTAGAAACTGAAATGATGCTGCCACAGCCAAAGAATGCCTAGGGCTACCAGAAGCTGGAAGAGACAAGGAAGAATCCTCTCTTAGAGCCTTCAGAGCCCACAACCCCGGGCATGTGCCCTGACAGGGAATCAAACCTTGACCTCATGATTCCTAGGTCGGGCTAGTGTTGTATTTCAAAACAATGGGCTGAAACCTGATCTATCTAATCCAACTGCACACCTATGTCCTCATTTGCATAGTTACTAACCAATCAGAGCTGCTCCATAACAACCAATAAGAGTGCACTAAGCTGACTCCTCCCCCCACAGGAGAGTGCTATTTGGACCAACCAGACTCTGCAAATTTGTATTCCTCATTAGCAGGGGTAAGGGAGGGGATTTTGTCTATGAAAAGCAGCCTCCTCTTTATCTCCAGAAGACTTTCGTTTCTAGTACAGGCTGTGTTTGTCCAGTTTGCAAACTGTTTACCGTAATAAAGTTCTCCTTTTACCACACCTCAGACTGGGGACTCCTGATCGCATTAGATTTGTGGCAGTGACCTTTTGTTTACAACATATATCCACTGTGTTTACTCAAAAAATTCAATGACCCAGTCCTTATCCTCAGGGGCTTACAGCCTCTAATCATCCCAGAATCCACTCCCCTTATTCCTTTTAATAATACAACCCCTGAATTGTATCTGGACACATTGTCCCCCTAGCTAGAAACTACATTTCCCAGGAACCCTGGCAGCCAGATGTGACCATGTGACTGTGTTAGAGCCAATGGGATTTAAGCAAACATAAGGGCAATTTGGAAGTCATCTCCTTAAACTTGTCCTAGCCTTCCTTCTCCCCCTTTCTTCCTGCTGAAACTTGGATAGGGAAGCAACCAAGTTCCTACCTTGTATCTGAGGACAAACCATGGAAGAGCAACAGGATGGAAGGAGTCTGGGTTCCTTGATGACCTAATGGAGCAAAGAAAGAGAACTGATATCCAACCATGACCGTCTTTATACCATGTTTAATTTTAACCAAAGACTTGGGTCCATACAAAGTCTGTGGCATGAATGAAATGGAATGACACACTATAAAAGCTTGTTGCCCTGGCTGGTGTGGCTCAGTTGATTGGGTATTGTCCTATGCACCAAAAAGTTACTAGTTCAATTCCAGGTCAGGGCACATGCCCTTGTTGTGGCTCAATCCCCAGTAGGGGGCGTGGAGGAGGCAGCTGATGGATGTTGTGCTCTCACATCAATGTTTCTCTCTTCTCCCTTCCTCTCTCTAAAAATCAATAAACTTTTTTTTTTTTAATCTTGTGAGCATTCCATAAAACCCAAAGCCAAGCAACTGGTTCCTGTAAAACTATAATGCGCAGGAAGGTAGCTGCACAAACAGAAACTCATGTAAACAGAAAAAGGCACCCACTCTAATATACAAGTTAGAAGGTGCCCAGTTTGCAAACTGTGGAAAACACAGCCCCATTCCCATGCCCTTAGCCAGGTGCAACCTGCACAGCCAGTCATACCTAAAGGTTTATGTCTAAATGCAGAAACAAAAGTGGAGGGAGGAGTCGTGTATCTAAATGAATTTCATATAAAGTGAACCGTTTTCAGAGCGTTGAGGAAATTTTCTATTTAAAGAAATCCTGCTGTGAACTCCTTTCTAGAGAGGAATTAGTCACCACTGAGTCATCTGTGCAAAATTCAGCTTCGTAATTTGGTCTAAGATCTGAACGGAGACATCAGATAAATTAAGACACCGTTATAAACGAGAGAGGAATCAACGGCAAAAGTGGAGAGAAGCCCTAGCGGGTTTGGCTCAGTGGATAGAGCGTCGGCCTGCGGACTGAAGGGTCCCGGGTTCGATTCCAGTCAAGGGCACATGCCTGGGTTGCGGGCACGGTCCCCAGGGGGGGGGGGGGGGGGGGTGCGGGAGGCAATCGATCAATGATTCTCTCTCATCGTTGATGTTTCTGTCGTTGATGTTTCTGTCTCTCCCTCTCCCTTCTTCTCTGAAATCAATAAAAAATATTTTTTAAAAAAGTGGAAAGAAAAGCACGACGTGCGGATGTGAACCTGATTGACAACGGGAGACCTTAAAGCCAGTGGTTCTCAACCTTGGCTGCACATGAGAATCACCTGGGAATCTTGTTAAAATCCTGATTTCTGGGCCTCATCCTCCGGAAATTCTGTTTCTTTGCTACTAATGTTGTGGCCTCACCCCATAACAAAGAAACAGAATTTCCAGAGGATGAGGCCCAGAAATCAGGATTTTAACAAGATTCCCAGGTGATTCTCATGTGCAGCCAAGGTTGAGAACCACTGCCTTAAAGCCGTCTCCGCCAGCACCTGGTCGCACCGAGTCTGCCTGCGGTGGGGGTATCACACGTGCGCCTGGGGACAGGAAATCGGCTCCGTCCAGTCGGAAAGCTAAGGAACCAAAGGACAGTAAAGAACAACTCCGAAGAAGCTTCCGAAGAGCTTCAGGAAGCAAAAGGCTATTAACTAACAATGGGAGTCTACGCAGCCGCGTTCTCATCCCGCCCCGCCCCGGATGCCCTGACAACCGGGTGGCGTCGG